GTAGCATAAATATGGGAGATTAACCATTGTGCCTAATAACATGACATTGCCTTAATTTTAGAAATCATGATGCGATTTTTGAAAAGGATATCGACCTATTTCGGGAATCACCAGTAGTCACCCCCTGAGCATACTTGCGGGAGATATACCATTAATTCCCTAATAAGTGAACATTGCCTTAGGTTTAAAAATAAAATGCAATCAAACAAATTTTTATTTATCTTAATTAAACTAAGAGTAAATTAAGGATTTTTCTAGCTTAAAGTGTCAAATTATGAAAATTAAGGAACCTAGAGGATTTAACCTAATATAAGCTCTAATATTATTCCATTTGATTTTTAAACAGTTATTGAATCGAATAACCGATATGGTCCCTTGAGCATTTAGGCGAGGGCCAACTCGTATTATTCCCTAAATTAAAAGTCTAATTTGAAATCTAATCTAAAATGGAGGTTCTAATATGAATTTACATTGATTTTAATATTTGAATAAATAAATTAGAACTTCGAGCAAAAACGAGGACCAAATTAAGAATTCCTAATTTAATGACTAATCTGAAATAAAAGTATTCTAAACTGGGACTAAAATGTAACCAAATAAAAAGTAACTAAATCGGAAACAAGCAGTGATCAAAATGCATAAAATAAAATAACATTAGCTAAATTAGAAATAAACAGTGACTAAATTAAAATAAAATAAACTAGAATGACAAAAAGTGTAATAAACTAGAAAATGGAGGTCTAGTGACCAAAATACAAAAATACGACAACCATAGAGGGACTAAAATGTAAATAACCCTAAAAATAAAGACAAACAAAGAAAGGTAAAATAGCAGTTTTGGTCCCCCTACAGGTGACCAAACTATAAAAATACGCTAAAAGTGGGGGGACTAAACAATAAATATATAAAAAATTACATAGTATAAAAAGAAATGGGAAAATTATGAAAAAAAAATCCTTGTCCGTGTTTGTTTTGTAAAAACGTGTGTGAGTTAGGGGAACCTAAGTGCAATTTCCCCTAACTTGTTTTATAAATACAATTTTTTTCTTTTTATAATTTTTCATTTTTTTCATTTTTTTAAAAAAAGTTAAAGAGAGAATCTTTTTTCTCAAGAAAATCGGCCGTCGCCAGTAGTTACTCCTCCTCTGACTTCCGTTGGCCACCAAATTTTTGGGTTTTGCTCGTCTCGTCACGGTGGTCACAGATATGTCCTTAGTTTTGCAAGAATAGGCCCCCAGCTCCATAAAAACAACCAAGAACGTCTCGACTTCCATCATCCCGATCTCCGCCGTCCGCCATTGGATCGCCTCGGTTTTCAAGTATGTTGCTCGCCAACTTCTCTTCTATCTTTTGACTGTTCGGATTGGGCAACAGAGACCCCAGCCGCCAGCGAGGATCCGACTGAATGGTAAAACCACTTCTTCTCTTTTATTTTTGGTTTTGCTTTGTTTTTTCGTTATTAGAATCTAAGAGTTTTTTTATTTGCTAGTTTATTTCGAAATCTAAAAAAGTTTCTTATTTTGTTGAGATTTAAACCTGGAAGCAATAAAAATACCCAAGAAAATAATGAAAAAAAGTTATTCGAATGCAAAAAAAATAAACTCAAAATGTTGTTGTTATTGCCTAAAAAAATAGTGTTACAGGATTTTTCTTGGGCGAGAAAGTCACTTTACAGTGTTTATCATTCGGTTTTACCCTTACAAAAAAAGAAAATGAGTCTTTTATTTGTTTTGCTGGTATCTTCTGCGGGAGCGTGGAGCAGCTGGCGTGCGTGGCTTCCTCTGTCATTGGGGCAGGAAATGGTGGCCCTCGGTAGGGTAGAGGAAGGATGACATTTAGTTGGGTGGGCGGTTATAGTAGTGGTTAGGGTATATTAGGGTTTTAGGTTAGGTTTGGGCCTCTGGGTCAGGTTTGGTGTTTTAGGCATTTGGGTCAGATTTTATAAAAGGTTTTGGGGTTTTGTTTTTGGTTTGGGCTTGGGTATGTTTATGTGAAACGGGAATGAAGCAAAGATAATAGAGCGTCATTTTTTACTCAATCTCTTCTTTTAAGTTGCGGGTTCTTTTCATCATGGTCTTTCCATTGGAAATGTTGATCACTCGAGTGAGGCGTTGCTAATTCAAATGCCGTGAATGAGAAAAGGTGAACAAGATTAATTATAATTATCTATTGGAAATGTTAGTCCTCGAGTGAGGCATTGCTGATTCGAAATGTCGTGAATCGAGCAAAGAAAATATTGATCCATCAAATGAGGCGTTGCTGATTTGAAGTGTTGTGAATCGAGCAAGGAAATGTTGATCTCTCAATTGAGGTGTTGTTGATTCAAAGTATTGTGAATTGAGCAAAGAAAATGTGATCCCTCAAGGAAGACGTTGTTGATTCGAAGTGTTGTGAATCGAGCAAAGGAAATGTTAACCCCTCAAGTGAGACGTAGTTTTGTTGAGTTAATCGATTGACGAATATGGCCAAGAGGGGGGTGAATTGGCAATTAAATTTTGGTGGAAGCTTTTGCGAAAATTGAAAGAAATTGCACAGCGATTTAGAGTGGTTCGACTTTCTCAACCGAAGTCTACGTCCACTACCTTAGCTATCCACACTAAGGATTTTCCACAAATTCATAATTTGTCTTTCTTTTGAGGACAAAGAGTAACCTTACAAACCCTCAAGAATTATACCCCAAATTCTTGAGAACACTCTCTCCCAAAGAGAACAATACAAATTTGCAAACTTACAAGGAACCCTCACAAGGTAGATTGTTTGCACAATTCTAGAACAAAGAAAAGAACACTCAAGAATGAATACAATTGAGCACAATAAGTGTTCTTGAAAGCAAAATGAAATTTAATGAAAAGGCTTGAAATATCAAACTTGAGGTTTGATGCTTTCTCTTTGATTCTCTCTTGATTCTAGTTGCTTGATGTTTCTTATTGATCAATGGCTTCTAAGCTTGCTTAAATACACCTTGAATCACTTCTGAACGTTGGGGATCATTAATGAAGATAATATAGCCGTTTAGTGTGAAATCAATTAATAAAATAGCTTGGAGCGTGGGGGAATCGGTACCCCATAGGGGTCTCTTTGATTCTCTCTTGATTCTAGTTGCTTGATGTTTCTTGTTATTGATCAATGGCTTCTAAGCTTGCTTAAATACACCTTGAATCACTTCTGAACGTTGGGGATCATTAATGAAGATAATATAGCCGTTTTAGTGTGAAATCAATTAATAAAAGCTTGGAGCGTGGGGGAATCGGTACCCCATAGGGGAATCGGTTCCCTCCGAGCATACTGGAATTCTCAGAGCCAAACCATTCAGGGGAATCGGTTCCCTCTGAGCAATCTGGAATTTTTGGCTTTGAGATGGTTCGAAATATTTTGTAAAATCGTTTTGAAATTATTTAAGATTAAAACTTAATTTACACTTGAGTAAGGATTAAAAATGACATTTTGAAAGATTTGGAGTAATATTTGATATTCGAATAATTATATCGAATATACTTAGAAAATCCTTTTGGAAATCTTAAAATTCATTAACTTAATTTGTTATATCGAAATATCAAATGTTTTCAACAAGTTTGTTTTAAGAAAAACAATCTCAAGTTAGATAAATCTTCTGTTTCAAGTGAAAACTATCTCAAGAGAGATAAATCTTGTTTTAAGAAAAACAATCTCAAGTGAGATAAATCTTCTGTTTGAGTGAAACTATCTCAAGCGAGATGAATCTTGTTTAAAGAAAAACAATCTCAAGTGAGCTAAATCTTATGTTCGAGTGAAACTATCTAAATCTAGATAAAATCTTCTGTTTCGAGTAAAACTATCTCAAGCGAGATAAAATCTCCTATTTCAACTATCTCAACCGAGATTAATCTGTTTTAAGAAAAACAATCTCAAGTGAGATAAATCCTCTGTTTCGAGTGAAACTATCTCAAGCAAGATAAAATCTTTGTTCGGTGAAACTATCTCAAGCGAGATAAATCTTCTGTTTCGACTATCTCAACCGAGATTAAACTTGTTTTAAGAAAAACAATCTCAAGTGAGATAAATTTCTGTATTAAATGAGACTGTCTTAAGCGAGACAAAATTTGTTGGAAATGTTGAATCTGAAGATGATTGCTCCCTCTTGCTAAGGACATCTTTTGTCTTTAATCTCATTTTTCCTAAAATATCTGTAAAGAACATGTATCTTAATGCAAATATAGTGAATGTCCTCATGAGAAGAGAAAATGTCCTTGAAAAAGATAGAATTTCAAGAGAAAATTTAATGGTACCCTCGTGAGAGGGGAAAATTAAAGCTTTTATCGTACATGATGATGGGTGCTCGATGCAAAGGTGCAAATTCATGTAGGTGTAATGCATGTTTTTTTCAACTAAGGGTAGTAAGAGGTGCTCAAGCAATCTTGGTTCTCTTTCTGATCTATTCTTCTTCATTCTCCTCCTACACCAAGGTGTACCATCGCATTTCTTTGCAAAATATTGCTTTTCTCGCTCCCTAACATTCAAAATTTTTACCTTAATTTCTGATTCTAAGCTTCTAGGTCTGAGGGACCCTTGTCAATTTCCAAGCTAAACTCTCTAGAGAGATTGTTCTATTTGAAAATATTTTCTTTCTTTTTATTTTCAAAATATATAGTTCGTTTAAGAAAAATGTCATTCTTTTAGGCTCACAATTGGAGCAAATCACAGAACATAAGTTCATTAAATATATAGTATTTATTATGTTGATGTTGTTTGGCAATATAGTAGGAAAGACTGCAACATCTAAGCTTCCTATTGATACAAGCCTTAACCTAAGTTAAAGGAGGGGGAAAATTACACAGTCCATGCAATTCAGCCAAGTCGGTTTCCATCAATGCTTAGTTGAGCATACGTGGAGTCTTATTTCAAAACACTAGAATATATGTGACAACAATGCAAGGGAATTATGATTTTCAGATTTTAATAGAATCTATGAATGGAGTCCTTATGGATATCAAACCTTTATTCTTTATTTTTTATTTTGGGGACGGGGTTATTTGTAGGAGTCAGAAATCATATAACAGATTGACCGAGATGTGATGCACACTCATCCAGACATGCACTTTTTCTCTGGGGACTCGCAGCTTGCAAAATCTAATCAGGTAACCATCTTCTTCTTTTCTTTTATTATTTCACGTGAATTTAGTGTTTTACATCTTTGGACTTAAGTTTAGATATGTATTGAATAATTTCCAGACATACATGCATATTGCTTGTTCAGGATGCAATGAGAAACATATTTAATCGTATTTTCCAAGTTAAACCCGGGCATAAGATATGTTCAAGGAATGAATGAAATCTTGGCACCTCTATTTTATGTATTCAAGAATGACCCTGATGCGGAAATGGCGGTAAGATCTCATTATTGTCCCCACCCAGTTCTTTTTTATTAAATCTCTAACATGAGATTGTTTTGATTTTCATGTATTGAATATGAAAAAAGGTTTCCATGATTTTCTTGTTTCTGTTTGCAACTCCATTGCATCAAATCCATCCCTTTTCTTGCCCCAAGATACCCAAAAAGTTTAAACAAAAACAGTAACTTTCAAATAGATTATAGCTTTTGAAAACCAGTACGGTAATGTTCATTTATCATTATTGTTATCAACTTGGCGGACATATATATATATATATATATATCATATGCACCAAATATGGAGTATCTATGCCAACCTATAGCCATATACCAATTACAATTTCAGTAAGAATAACATATATTATAGTTTCTCTGTTATCATGATTTATGATCAAAGTATTGGTTATATTCTTCAACATTTTCCATATTTTAAGTTTTACAGGTTGCTGCCGAAGCCGACACATTCTTTTGTTTTGTTGAGCTATTGAGTGGATTCTGTGATCATTTCTGACAGCAACTTGACAACAACAATATGGGAATTTGTTCCATAATTTCTAGGTTGTCACAGCTTCTGAAGGAACATGATGAAGAGCTTTGGCATCATCTAGAGATCACAACTAAAGTAAGATATCGTTGCAAAATTTAAGCATCTTTTATATCTTGACTCATGCTTGCCTCTTACCTGCAAAATTTTGAACACTTTCACCTTTATCGTTTTCCGCAGCTTATCAAGGTAATTAGTTGGGCTTGAATGCTAACTGTTGTGTTTAAATATCACACAGGTCAACCCCTAGTTTTACGCATCAGGTGGATTACTTTGCTCTTGACACAGGAATTCAACTTTGCAGACAATCTCCACATATGGGACACACTTCTTAGTGACCCTGAAGGCCTCTGATATGATTGCAATTTTTATCTCACTTAATTCTCTAGAACTTTGCTCTAAGATTAGGGGAGGAGATTAGGGATGACAACATCATAGACCGTGTTAGATTTTAATCTAACCCATCACTCAACAACCCCAAAGTTTTAATCCAACCTATATGTGGCCAAAATTTTAATCCATTGACTTCTGCAGCAGACATATATGAATGACTTTTCGAGTGTATTAGTTTAGTAATGTACAGTATGGTCACAATCCAAACTAATTATAGTACCAAACCAAATATCTACTTATGCCTACAGATGCTCTAGATTTTTTTGGCCGCCAGTAGTGAACATGCCTATTCATAGATATGGTTTAATGGATTTACTTTAACAAGACCTAAAACTTTTCATTCCAAAAGTTCATATTTCAAAGTTTGGGACCATGTTTGAAATAAATGTTTTCCCATGGCGTAACAGCTAGTGTTCGGTTCACTAATTCCGTTTCTGATCAGGTTTTCGATCGTAGGGAGAAGATTGAACTTCTAGTGGACAAAACAGAAAACTTGTAATTCCAGGTTGGTGCTATCTTCTCTTTTGTGGTTTAGTTTAGGGTTTGGGTAAGCATCATAATATATATATGGTTTTTTCATAATATCGCAGGCTGATAGCTTCCAGAGGCAAGGGCGGCAACTGCGACGAAGGATATAACTGTAGAATCTGCAAATGAAACTGATGGTAGGAAGAGCTGTAGTTGTGTTGATCATCATTTTGTGGCTTTTTGCGTGTGGGGGTTTCAAATGTTGACTTTGATCAGCCAAAGTTAAGAACCATTACAATATTTTTGATAACTTAATGTGAATATATTGTATGCAAATGGATTGCTTATATATATGATATATATTTTATTATGAGGCATTAAATGTGATTTAGTTTGATTATTTTTCAATCTACAATATATATATATATATAATTTACGAAATACAATCACGACACAAGAATGTGTGTCATCTTTTTTAATGACGTGCGTTTGAATGACACACAATGTAAGTCATACATGTGTGTCATCTTCATTTATGATAGGGGCTTCAATGACGCGCAATGAGCGTCATAAATGCACGTCATAAATGCGTGTCATAAATGTGCGTCGTATATTTATAACACACAATTGCGCGTCATCAAAAATTCATGTCGGTGACTTCAACGACAGGCATTTGTGTGTCATCCGCACCCATAGATGACGCGCAATGCGCGTCATTAAAGGGTTTTTTTCTAGTAGTGTGTAGTATTTATTTAAGGGTAAATTACATGTTTAGTACCTAAGCTATCACTTTTGTTTCATTTTAGTACCTAAACTTTCAATTTTTTCAAAACTATACCTAAAGTTTACTTTTTGTTTCATTTTAGTACCACACCATTAAAAATTTAGGTACTAAAAATGAAACAAAAAGTTAACAATGAGGTACTAAAATGAAACAAAAAGTAAACATTAGGTATCCTTTTGAAAAAATAAAAAGTTTATGTATTAAAACAAAACAAAAGTGATAATTTAGGTACTAAATATGTACTTTAGCATTTCTTTAATTGAATTTTATGAAAATTTAGTAAAATAGAATTAGAGAGACATTTGGAGTTTAAAATAATTAGGGATAAATATATAAAATAAAATTTCTGTAGGATGAACAAATTTAGATTTATAATAAAAAAAGTCAGGTTAAATTTGAGATAAAATAATATATATATATATATATATATATATATATATATATATATATATAATTCTTAGTAAATCAATTTTGATTTTTTATATTTATTTTTTAATATTTTTAATATTTTAAATTAAATTATTTTATTTTTTTTATAAAAAATCAAATAAACCCATGATTTAAAAAAAAAAATCAAATTGACCCTCAAACTTGACTAAAAAACCAATTTAGCCAATCTACTATGTCATCAGCCATGACACCAACTACCTTAGACCACCACGTCAGCATCGTAAAGTGTGACGTCAGTAACATAACATAACGATCAACGATAGAAATCGTATGTCAAAGGGTGACATTGAGTTCTTTGTCTAAGTTTGAGGGCAACATTGAATGAAAAATAATTTAAGGGCCACATTGATTTTTTTTATTAAAAGTACAAGGGCCACAAATACTTTTTGCCTATAGATTTTTACTAAAGGCTTGAGTTCAATCATCCCTATTAGCATTTGATATAATCTTAAAGTATTGATAGAACATAATAAATATTAGTTTTGATGGAATTTTAACCAATTTCCAGCTTAACTTACTAGTTAAATGTAAAACTTATAATGCAAGGTGTATTGGGTTCAAATAATTTTTTTAATTTTAATTTAGTTTATTTGATTAATTTAAATATTTTTTAGATAATTGAGAACCCCATTTAAGGAGTCTTTAATTTGATTTGTTTACTCTCGAATGCGTTAACTTATTTTCTTTAATCCGAACAATTAGATTTTAATATTGTCGCCGTCTAATTTATCCTAATAAAAATTAACGGAAAACTACTTCAGATACCATTGAATTTTTCTGGTTGATTTGTTTATATCATTGAACTTTCAATTTTACCAATTATAGCACTAAAATTTTAGTTTTACATTCAATTATATCACTCCGCTGTTAAGTCATTAACGAGATGACGACTTGGCTAACAGTTACTGATATGGCATATCACACCAAAATGATGTTTTGGTGTGTATGTTTTGATGCTTAAAACTACGTTGTTTTAGACGCTATACTTTTATGTGTATATCAATTTTACCACTAAGCTTTTAAACGTTTTACTTTTTTTTTGCGTTGCACTTTCCAACCACCATTGATAGTCAATCACCGCCCGTCACAGAGTGTCTTTCACGACAAAATCGATATTAAAATATTCACATTTCACTCCTCATTCTTCTCATATGATTAGTTGTTCATGAAACTCACTCAAAATCAACGAAATTAAACAAAAAATATACAATTTTCTAGATGTTTGGAGACTTTTTTAGATTTATGGAATTTAGAGTGTTTCTTCAAAAATTTAAATGGTGAAAAGCATTATTTCGAGAAGATGAACAATATACCTTTAAGCTAGCTTCATCGGATGACTATTAAAATAGATCGAAGTATTAATACATCAAACTTTTAAATGAGTTTTCATAAATTTTGAGTGAGTTTTTTAAAAACTAATCATATGAGTGAAACATGAACATTTTGCTACTAATCTTACCACAATATAACTGGTGATAGGCAATGTTTGACTACCAGCGACGATCCAAAAGTATAGTGTTAAAAAGATAATTGTTTACAAGTTTAGTGGAAAAATTGATACACCCATAAAGTTCAATGTCTAAAATAAAGTTTTTTTAGGCATCAAAACAATCATGTTAAAACGATGTCGTTTTGCAGTGGCATGTCATGTCATGATCCTATTATGGACTTAACGACGGAGCGACATAATTGAATGCAAAACTAAAGTTCAATGTTATAATTGACAAACTTGAAAGTTCAATTATATAAATGAGACAATGAGCAAAGTTCAATGGTATTTGAATTAGTTTTCTTAAAATTAATAAAAAAAGTAATAAGTCAATGTTGATTAGGAGAGGAAAATGATAACAGTATTGAAGTTAAATATATAATGATAGGTGATTAAAAAATAATATTATTAATGTTTTTATAAAAAAATCAATTCAATAATAAAAAATAAATAAATTGATAAAATTATTCAAACAAAAAATATGAGTGAACTACATTAGATATCATCAAAATTTAGACGTAGTATTGTTTAGACCACTGGACTTTCAATTTTATCAATTATACCATTGTACTTTGATTTTCGTTACACTTTTACTACTGAATCGTTAAATTGTTAACGACATGATGAAGTGGTTGATGATTGCCGACATGACTGATAGTTGCTATCGTAGACATATCATCAAAATGACTTCATTTTGATTCAACTGATAACTCATTGATATGATTAGCATGAAAATTAAAATTCAATGCTATAATTTAAAAATAAAATCGTAAGTTTAGTTAAATAATACAGCGCTTAATGATCGACAGTGTGTGAATTAGTTTACCCAAAAAGTAATATAACAAATTATCATATTAAATTGTTTTAAAAAATAAAAATGAAGAAATTAATTGCATGGAACAGACATTTGACAAGATCTTAAATTAAGGTATATCAAGGTTCATGATCCAGGACGTGCTCTGATCGGGAAAAAAATAAATAATCATCCAAGACGCGCGTTCCTCTTCGTGGTTTGACCAAATTCTGTTTTGACCTTCACATTTATTTATTTAGTATAATTACTTGTATCTTTTCTGTATTAAAATTTAAATCATATTTTTTAATATAATTTACTTTATTAATAAATACTAAAATTCAAATATTTAATATTGTTTAAAAAATAGATCTTTGTATAATTAAATAACCGTGGGGTTCCATTTTGGCTTCATTTTCACCGTCCAAACCATTCAAAATTCCACACCGTTGGGTTTCTTGGGACCACGTGATTTCATTCTTTCTGTTTTGTTTATTAGATTACCAATAAAGTAAAGTTCCTTGGATCTGACGATAGGGATCCGTTCTCCCGCCCTATCGGACGCCTCATATTAAGGTTACTTGTTGCCTCGTTGACCCTCTATTCTCTTT